CGAGCAGTTTAGGCAATCCTTTAAGAGAACCATTAGCTGCTGGATGGACAAGCCATGCATATTTATTCTTCCTTCATGTTCAACAAGAAGTTCGAAGATGGCTTGCATTGCGGAGTCATTCGATACGTTGGTGTACAGTGCGGTAACGTCGAAAGACTCCATCACGTACGCGTTATTGGGAGACGCGTTACGTAGACGTTCTAGGAACATTTGGGTGTTTGTGAGGTGAGCTGGAATGTGGTTAAGCAACTGGGTAAGTATCAGGCTTAAAAACCAGGTTATTCTATCTGTTGGCCCGTCTACACCGCTGATGATCGGTCTAACCTTAAATGATGACAGATTGGTTGACGCATGATCATCAGGTGATACCAAATTATGTGTTTTAATAAGTAGGTATAGGACAGGACATGTTGGTCTATCGATTTTAAAGTGTGAAATAACCGACGATTTTAAACCCGCAGCCTTTGCCACGCTGGCCTATTGATTGTTTAGCTTTCGGTATTGACTTTATATTTTTTTATTCCTTTTCAGAAGATGGGCGATAGAGAGTAGCATCACTAAGATGTTCCTCTGTTATCTCAACATCCAGCTGGCGAGGGATAACTGCGAACTCTCCCCCCTTATCACTAACAGACAATCTTATTGTTTTCGAGTTTATTAATTCTCTAATTTCCCTCTTGCCACATTTTTGTGCGGCTGTAAGGCTAGAGATAAACTTTCTATCGCGGTAGTGATCAAGGGTCTTGAGAACGCCGTCCGAAAACGCGCGGAATATTATGTCAACTCCATCGTTAGGGTCCTGCTGTCTAAAGAACGTTTTTGGGAAAGGAGATGGTGGTAGTGTCGCCGCTTCTTGATTTTTATCTCTATTTGATGTTTCTTGCTTGGCCTGATAGCGGAGTCGATCTTGAAGTTCATAAAGGTTGCATGCTATCCTACGCAGGGTCGTTTTAGAAATAGGCTGTGATGGTGCAAAACTTGGGCCCAATTCTAATAGCGAGCGCGCATTCTCAGGTATTGTTATGCCCCCAATCACGGTGACCCTAGATTTTCTTGGGGCATTATCAACCCCATTTTGACTATTATCAGAAACATAAGGAATTCGTTTGCGGTTGTTTCTTGAAGCTGAGACGTGTGAATTACCCAAAAGGTTTTCGAATTTCCGTTGTAAGGTTATTTTGGCATTAGATCTAATAAAATCGCATATCAATATTGACCCACCAACTATCCTCCTCCAAAGGCGATCCTCCAAATACAAAGCACAAAAATGTTCCTTCGTTGCACACTTCTTCATTCTGGCAAAGATCTCGTTCTGCTTGCTTTGTAGTGCAGCTCGAAGTAGTTCCATTTCGATGCCTCGTACTTGTTGGCTGCCCTCTGGTTGACCGCATATCTCGTGAAGTCGCTTTCGTTTTATAAACTTCGGCACGACTCGATGTTGAAAACAGCGGCGGAGGAAGTTGATTTGCTGTCTAGCTAAGACGATCTTCTGTCTTAGTGACAGTGCTTCCTTCACAAGTCGAAAGTATTTTGCTGGTACATCTTGTAATAGTTCCCAGGATCGACTTTCTCTTAACCTCGGCATTGGAATATGAATGTGTCGTTTTCTTGTTCAGCAATCGCGAGGTTTCTAAACAGCATACATTTACTTCCATAAAAACACAATACAATACAACGCTAGCTGACGTTTCGGCAGTATCGCCTTCTTCAGAGCCTGGAAGAAAAAACCTATCAAGTAGCGGTTACCTGACAAAGTGGTATCGAAAGCCAAGTAACAAGAACATCCTTGTTCATTTCCTTTCTTCCCACCCTTCACACACAAAGAGGGCGATTGTGAGAACATGTTTCGAACAGCCACCTCTGTGTGCACAACCAGGGAACTAAAGGAAGAATCGCGCGACTTGGCCCGGCAAATAGCCATCTCCAATGGCTACGAAATAGTAACCCCACGNAGAACGACGCGCCCACGCGAAACACTTGGCCAAAACAAAATCCCGTTTATGTTGCCTTTTATAAGCGATGAAGTAAGCGTGGCTATAAAACGATGCTTAAGAAGGCCAAGTCTAGAGGAATCGGTAGCGATAGTTGAAATACCACCGACTACGTCGCCAATTAGTTCGCAACCGCCTGTATGACCGTCTGTGTGAAACAACAAATTGCGTAATTTGCCCTTACGGCAGGGACGGTGATTGCATGAGTTCAGGTACGATATACCTGATCTCGTGTAACAATTGCGGAGATGAATATATTGGCGAAATGGGCAGACCTTTGTGTATCCGTATAAAAGAACACCTAGATGGCAAACGAAAACTAAGACGAAGCATCCCACTAGGCACGCATAGGATACAAAAGTATAGCGGAGACGATTTTGAAGTAAAAGTCAATATCCTTGCACAGGAGGCTAAAACACTACCGCGAAAACTTCTCGAGGTTTTTTGGATAAATGCGAAAAACCCTACAATGAATAGCAGGGATGAATGCCCGGAGGTCATACGCGACCTGACTCCGTATGTTCGCATCAATTTCTGATGTGAGATGGTGCACTCGTCAACCACATGCGACTATAATCAGCTGTTCTAAACTTCCTCATTGGAAGTCACGAAAAAGCGGTGGGTTTTTCGAGAAGTTGTTGATCGTGTAATTACCAAAGAGTCTTTCGTCTTTGTGTAAGTGTTATTGAAGCGTTTGGCCTAGTAGATTGTATATCAGTATACCCTTCCAGGCTCTGGAGAAGGCGATACTGCCGAAACGTCAGCTAGCGTTGTATTGTATTGTGTTTTTATGGAAGTAAATGTATGCTGTTTAAAAACCTCGCGATTGCTGAACAAGAAAACGACACACTCACTGAAGTATCACGAGAGTACAAGAGACCGCTCTGTCTCACCTTCATCGATTTAAAGAAGGCCTTTGACTCAAGTCAGATAGAAGCAGTCATGGAAGCCCTTGATAGTCAAGGTGTCCCTGCTCACTCAGTACATAAAGATTCTTCGTGAGATGAACAAAAATTTCACAACCAAGATTTCACCATTGTACAACGATATTAACATTGACGTCAAGAGAGGAGTTAGGCGAATTACGTCTTCGAGCTTCCTTTTTTCCACATCACTGCATATGCGAAAACGTTCATGATCCCCATGAACATTGTGATAAATTGGTATGTAATCGTCTTCGAATAGCGAAACAACCACTGGTCAATCGGTTGACTCAAGTCTCTCTCCCATTTCCATGACAGTGATCAACACCGAGATCACCATCGCTCGTTACTTTACGACCATCATGGTTTAGCCCACACTCGTCTATGGCAATCATCTACCTCAATTTATCACGAATTAGCAGGCAACCTATTCCTTAACAAATCTTATCTGTGTTCTTGTTTATTACTGAGTCTTCTTCATTTCTTTATTGCTACCAACAGTTAATTCGGTGTTAGGCTGTGGAGCGGTTAGGTTTTCGTCTCCTCGTCGATTTCCACGCTTTACTCCAGTGGTCGTCTGCATATTCGCTAATTCCTTCGTTGTAGCAAGTGAGTACTTTACTTCGACATTCAGTCTTTCGAAGAAGAAATTGTTATCTTTATTTCTTGGTAGACAACCAATTTCGGGGGTTTTGTCGAAGTATCGTACCCAAGATGTTAAGGATCAAAGTGCAGTTTTCTTGGTTTAATATATAACGGGTGGCGTGCATTCTATGCACTCATAGGTGCGGCGCCGACTGATCTGTATGAGCTGCATATGGGTCATTTTCTTTCTGATGACTTCTTCTGGTGCACATAACCATTTTCCTACAGTTCTTATAATAAATCAGTGGCTTACTGAACACAGGCTGTAGTGTGCTCGGCTGGAAAAACTTTGTTTCGCACTTATACTGTGAAAACCTGTTTGTTAAACGAGTTCACTGGCTAGTTATTTGACCGGCAGTTTAGTACTACTTCAATCGCAATCGCTTTACTGAACCGTATTCATGAATACGAATGTGGTGGTATCAAAATGGCGGAAAAAGACACAGCATAGGTTCCGAAACTCCTCCAAATGCTGACAGCAGTGTGTTTGTATTATGGGTCACACTAACATGTAGTAAATTATAGCATACAAAACATACCAATAGAGATCGGTAGAGCAAAGTCACTCCTACTAGCGTTCATATTCACAACACCTCAAGTTCTCTAGTTATCGAGCAACTATCGTTTATTTTCAAAAAACCTAGCAAATGCGCAAAGCCTAAGAATCATGTTCAGTGGTGCGCCGAGCGTGTGTGTTGTAGTCAACGCTTAAAGAGATCCGAAATAATTCGTGTGTACTCAGTTCAGAAAAATATTTTGCAATTCAAGTGAATCTGTTATTAACAGTTTAGGTGGATATCCTAGGAATAACTTAGTGTGAGCTAAGAAATGTGAGCTAATGGTATCATTTATTAGTTTTTTATTTGTATTTCACAAGAACTACCGTCTTATATCGTGCACGTACAAGCACTTCCTTCAGAGAAATCCGGTCCTCGCATTCCTTACGCATGGAGGTCTTCGAATTTCAGTGGGAGTTCGGCTGTCGAATGAGGATTTGGTCTTTATGAATGTCCTGTAGTGCTAGTCGAATAAGTTCCCTGAATTCCTGGAATAGGTGAACTAGGACTCTCTAAGGGCTTCATCACATGATGTCGCCGCCTTTTGGGGATCCGACCGATTTTCTCTCGGATAGCCTGGTAGATTTTTGCCGACCCCGCAGAAATCGAGGGCTTGATTCGCCTCGCGCTGAGTCCAATCAGTGACTTTGCGCGTACTATTGAACTCCATTTCTAAGCATTTACGCCTTCCCTATGCATATTGACTATCGTCCCATCAAATCTAAAGTGTATTATTGACCATTCCTTTAATTCTATTTCATCTCTCTCTATCTCGTCGTTGTTAGAAATCGGATTAGTAGTTTATGCAAAAAAAGAAAAAAAACCGTCCTCGGTGAACAACTAGCTTTGGACAAGGGATTAAACTTTTATTTATAGGAAGAATCATGCCTAGCTGTTCGTTGATGTGTCTTTTGGCAATCCTACATTTGGTGGCCTCAATTAATGAGCATCCAAAACTCCTGCTAATCTCATTTGACGGTTTTCGATACGATGCGCTCAACAAGACATTGGTAAGGCATATTTGTTATCAGAAAAAATAAGAGAATTAAATCACATAATGCCTGTTTGCTGCTAGTGCGTGGTGCTTTCCAACACCTGACCGCAAGCTAGTTTTTATTTTAATCATTGCCACTCCACTGACATTGGTTCCATTCTCAAACACCATTTATACTAAACGCTTCAAACTCGTTTGTTTTGACTATTGAAGGAAAATCTCGTTGATATCAGGTCCCCAACATTTATGCGTTTGCTCGTGAAGGGGCGTGGTATGTCAATGGCGTAAAACCACAGTTTGTCACTTTTACTTCCACTAATCACATGGCTATGGCGACAGGTACGGCTAGAACCGTGTAAAAACGAGTATAGACATTAGATTACTTAACTGTTTAGTAATTTAAGCAATAAGTGAAACTTTTGTAATTTCCGGTCTTCATGCTGAGAGTCATGGTATTGTCTCTAATGTATTCTATAACACTACGTCTCATCTCCTGTAAGTGCAACTGTGCATCTACTGTAATCGTGTTTTTCATGTTGTTTGCCACGCTTAGGTGGGAAGATAAAATAAAAATCTGGAGAGATTAATTGTGTGCACTCCTTCAGGTTTCCCTACAATGCATCCGAAAGAGAAGAATGGTATCATGGCGAGCCAATTTGGGTATCAAATGAAAAGTATGGTGAAAGATTTATCGCGATTACTCATTCGAAGAACTTCATTTTACACATTTTACGGTAATGAACAGCTACGATGAGATGGGTTGGCCTTGTCATATACTTTTCAGCAAACAAAGAAGGTGTAATAAGAATTTATTTTTGTCGTTCTGTTGTTAGATAGCAACCGGCCACACTTCTTATCGAGGGCAAACCCATTTTTTAACTATAAGACCTCATAAGGTGGCGTAGGCTTCAATACTTCCGAGGTTTTCTTGCATGAAGTTCTTCAAGCAGAATTTCTGCTGTAAACCAGTTTGGTAAAGTGTTTGGACCTCAAGTTCTTTGCTTGCTCAGTGTCGTGATTTTAACACGAACATCCATCCTCATATGCAGTTTTCACAGGATTTTCTTTCATGAACTGTTTTATCGGTTTCGTTTTTTTCTCCTAAAGATTTCTTGTCAGGTAATATGTGAGTTCATGTTCCATTGAAGTCAATTGTGTTTTCGAGCGTGTTCATCGATTCGTGCAGAGCTGAACTTTTAGCGGATTCTTTAGGAGAATGTTTTCTCCAGCCCATAGCATCTCAAACAATGCTGCGAAGGAGAAGGAAATTTCGGAGTTTTGTTGCTCTAAACGGCTTCATTTCTGTAGTTGTATGTCGTGGTTACTCAACAAGATTGGATCCAGGATGGTACACGTGAACACTCCTCGATAACAATTTCCCGATAGGCTTTCCATTGTCCTGTTTGGGATATTTATTTCATTCTCTATCCTGCTAAATTCTGCTACAAAAACTGTCTGGATCTTATGAGAACTAACAAGCAAGTGAGCTCCACAGTAGTCGAGCCAGAGTTTGGACTTCTACACTTTTTCCCCAATTCCTTGCTGATGGGTAAGATGTGGTGGAATTTCTACAATTTCGTGAAGAATGTTCTAATCTTATCCAGTTAGGCTTAGAAATAATTTCAGTGCTGCGTCACAGTGGAGATGCTCTTAATGATCCCATTGAGAATCCAGAATTGAACACGCAACTAGTTGATATTGCTTTCCTAATTTTGCACTCGTATTTTCCTGAAATCTTCTCATTTCGTTAGCTTTTAGAGCCGATGGATCGAGACGTTCAGCTTGCCTCTACTGGCCACTTGGGGACGCGTCTTATCCAAATACTAAAAAGCCAACATTCTTCAAGTTAGTTCACCGTCAGTAATGCATATATATATATATATATATATAATACCATTTTGCTATAATACGTGTGTCTGCAGAAATTTTATGAGTGATGTTATAAATTGGCACTCTATTGTTTGTACAACGGTCTCACCGAGGCAGCAGCCTGTTGCAAATCTGAGTGAAAATTTGGAGTTTTATGAACGTACAATGATAAGAGGAATGAGTTATCAAGTGATTTAGAGAATTTTACCGTCTTTCATGCTTAACAATGAGGTGTTCAATTAGGCGATTTGTAGGTATCGCACTACGGATGAATGGAATCGAGACGTCGACACAATAGTGGAGTGGTTTACCACGAAAGAATATCCAATGAACTTCGTTGCTTGGTAAGAGTGTAGCAAATTGAGGAAAGCCACTGGAGTAAAGTCTTATTACAAGAAACAAATATTCTATATTATAGTAACACTCTTAACGGGCGCGTGTGGCGCAGTGGTCGGAGGCGTCCTGCAATACACACGTGGAATCGATCTCCGCGCCCATGGCCCACCAAGCCTCCCATCTTTCCGGGATTGGCAAATTGGTACCAGACTTGTCTGGGAGGATAGTAGCAGTGGCTTGATACATCGGTAGGCCACAGTGAGTCATTGTAGAAGCCAGATATGCATTCAGTCACCTCCAAACGATGCTTAATGAAGTCGAGTGAATGACGCATCTCTGAGGGATTGATCAAAGCTGAGAGCTTTATCCTTTTTATTTTTTTCTTTTGTAGTAACACTTGAAAAAGTCCTACAGAAGATGAAGTATCGTAGTTTTGTTGAAAACGATGCAAATTCAATCCAAATTTCCTACGTTAACGTGAAATTTTCGATACACGATGCATCAACAATCAGCCAAGAATGTGTTATGCGTATGGTATTTTCCGGATTGCACAGATAGTTCTTCTGTTGTATGGTGCATTTTTTCAAAGGTATATTGGTGAACCAGACCACACTCTTCATGAAAGTGGTCTCTATAATGGTTCATTTGTGGCAGTGTTGAAGAAACTGGACGATTTGTTCGGATATTTTGTGCGACAGTTCCGTCTACACAATCTATATTCAGAAGTCAACGTAATCTTAACGGCCGACCATGGTCACGCCCAGGTTTGATTTCTTTTCCTGGACCTTTATATTCCGGTAAGCTTCTTCTCCTTTTACTTCCTTTCTCCTTTCTCTTTCTCCTTGTTCTCCTCCTTCTTCGACTATTAAGTTAACATGAGATTGATGAAAAAAAGTTAACAAGAAAGGAAAATGAAGGTGTCTTTCTTTTCTTTTTCTTTTCATTTAGTTTTAATCATTTTCCTATATTCCTTCATCGGCGATGCCTAGGGCCTTTACTATATCGCAATGCCGAAATTCCGTTTCTACCTGCGACCAAATTTCGGCTAATATATCCGTATTGAGCAGGAATTTATCTTAATCATGAATATGCCTACCGTCAGGCCTCTTCATTAGGCAGCGTGCAGGGCCTTTTTGCCATTTGGTCGACATATTTTCGGAGATCGAGCGTAGTGGCTATTCAGGTCCTACACCGAACGTTCTGAGCCAACTTAGTTAACAATCCATGCACGAAACGAATTAGCCGAAAATAACATACTTTTGCTGCGGATGAATAATGAGTGAGGGCATACTATCCTGATTATTTAGTATGGATTGCTCACTCAGATAAACATTTTCGATGATCGTTAGGAATGCAGGTTTTGGGGCACATGCGTGATGTTTGGGCAGCACCTAGGTTATATTTATTTACATGATCTTATGAACTGATCTTGTTGAGCTGATATGAAGTTGGTATATGTTTTCGTTGTCGTTGTTGTTGTTGGTGTCGTTGGTCGATGGCTGACGTTTCGGCGATTTCGTCTTCCTCGGAGCCCTGCTGTCACGAGTGGGAGTCCTGTTTCATACAATGCAGGGCTATGTGAAGGGGTTGCGCTGGAAAATTGCTCTGAAACCCCGTTTAAGCTCGAAAAATCGAAAAAACCCAGATTTCAACGGGCGTGACAGCAGTCGCGTCGCGGTCCCTGGGTCGGACAGGGGCCGAACGGGGCACCCGCGTGGTCAGAATTAACCCGTAACTCGCCGGAAAACGAGAATTTAGTGCACGAACACAACATTAAGCGTTATAAAATTAAGCGAACGAATTACGGTAGCGGATGTCTTGTAGTAGCGAGCGAAATACACCAACGCGGACGAGTTATTTGGAAAAAAACTCGGAAAACGCAAATTTGAGCGCGCAAACGCTATATTTTGCACCTGACAGTGGTCTTGGGCGAGCTATGGTAGCGCGGATGAGTTATCGTGGAAAAAAAGTCGGAAAATCGCCGAAACGATGGAAAAACGCCGAGACAGGCCGGGATGACGTTGTCTGAGTGGTGACTGGTGTCCCACTCGTAACAGCACGGCTCTGAGGTAAGCCAAGTCGCCGATGCGTCAACCATCGACCGACAACAACAGCGACAACGCCGACGACAACGACAATGACAACAAGAACTACAGCAACAATAGCAACGTGAACGGCAACATGTGCCAACCTCGCATCAGCTCAAGATTAGTTAATAGGGTAATATAAGTAAATATGTAAACTATATGTTGAGGTTTACAGAAACCCAGTCTTTTGAACATCTAGGTTAGTTCACCAGCAGGGGCGTGACGTCTTCATGGAGTGCTTTTCTGAAAAGCTGATTTTGGATCCGCACTGTCGAAGTTGGTATTAATTAGTTGTTTTTTAAAAGTCCCGAAACTCGCTAAGCAGCAGATAAAGAATTTAGTATTGATCTCATGTTTTGAAAACCTTTATTTATTTCTAATAAACTTGGTAAAATATATCGTTTTCAGATAGATGGTGTGAATAACATAATGTGCGTGGGAGATTACATCGATTTGAGCAAGGTAGTCTACGGAGAGCAAATGATCTACCTTCGGGATAAATCCATTTTTCACGAGGTTTATCAAAACCTGACGAATGCCATAGAGCGAAATTCTTTCAAAGTGAAAATTTACTCAAAAGAAGTTAGTTGTGAGCAGCTTTGATAGTATATATGTAATATCGAACACTGGAAATGTGTAACTTTTGCCAGACTCTTCCGTCACGCTTCCACTACATGGGCATGCCTTCGCTAATCGGTGACATTATTCTATCGCCAGATGTCGGAGCCGAAGTGCGATTCGATTGCAAAAGAGACATATATAATCGGTATACCAATATGAGTACACCAGCCAATTTTCGGTTATCTTTTTCTACTTGTGTTGATAAATTGGGCCTAAGTGGGCCACAGTGGCGCTAGTGGGGCAGTGGTCGGAGAAGCTCTGCAGTACACCCGTGGAATCGATCCCCGCACCCATGGCCCACCAACCCTTCCCTCCCTCTGGGGTCGGCAGATTGGTATCAGACGTGTCTGGAAGAATAGCAGCACTGGTTTGACACATCGATAGGCCATTGCGAATCACTGTAAAGGCCAGCTATGATATGCATTCAATCACCTTCAAACGATGCTTAACGAAGTCGAATGCATGGCACATCCCTCAGGTATTGATCAACGCCGGGAGCTTCACCCCTTTATCCTTTAAACTGGTCACATTTCTTCTCCAGGAATATTAGTTCTCTTTCTTTTTGAACACATTTCCGCTCTTGATGTTATTTGTTAGGAAGTCAACGTTATATCGCTATCATTCTTAGTAATACGGGCCCTCTTTAGGTGTAGGCAAATTCCCTTCTTTAGAATAGAAGTTTCGAGTTCAAAAAGAGTATTTGCGAGGAATTTCTCACTCTGTTGTCGTCCTCGAACTTCCTATCGCACAGTGATGCTAGAGGTACCGGAATAAGTATGGAAGTAGCGCGAACTCATGATTGGAAGTATGTTTGTCGAATCTAGTAGACTGCCCGGATCGAAACTAATCTTGTCACCTACTTAAAGTTTTTATCAAGACCGTAGCTTTCGTTTACGGTCCTAACGAAATCTTGATTCTCTCGGTAATCATATGCGTGATGTTCCGAAGCCATCGCTCGTAGATAGGGGTTGCCCGAATTTGTTGATCCTCTATTTCGACCCGACATTTTACTTTCACCATAGTCTACGTGCCCTTTAATGTCTTTCTTGTGGAAATTTCAGAAGACTCTAATGCACCGCATTTCATCAAGGTGCAAACTGACGTCGGCATGACCATAACTTCCGAAAAGGAATGAAAGGGTACTTATATTCTGACCGGTTACACCAACAGAAATTAATTGTTCCTATGCCAGAGATCAGAATCGACGTCTAGAAGGTGCATAGATGTCCAAAAATAAATTGTGTGTTTGAGGATGTACGATTATGGGAGAACAGTGCTCAATTCATCGACTCATGGAATGGAACCAAATAACCCAGAAATGAGGCCTATTCTTGTTCTCCACGGTCCTGATATCCATCAGCAAAAAGTGGTTTGTTAGCCGTTTTCCTACATCATCATGTTAGATATTCAGCACGTTCTTGATAGTCCAGAAAATTCGTTCGACTGTCAGCTATTATTGCTGTGTATTAAAAAATTAATGATGTCGATGCCCAGCAAGTACTATTTAGAAATTTCCATTCCGTCGTAGTTTTGAGTTTCTGGCAGACTGTGGTAAATGTGTTCCAATCTCTAATTAATCCTTTCCGGATTATCCAGTTATCTCTGTAGGCATTCAGATGACTGATGTGCCAAACCTTATCGACCTTTATCCTCTTATGAGCTTTTTGCTTCGTATTAAACCCGCTCCAAATAACGGAACCTTATTGCCATTTGTTAGTGTTGTCGATATCAGCAATTTCGAGATATCAGTAAGTGATTTCTCACATTTTATGATATCAGTGAAAAAATACGAATTTGTTAAAAAAAACACATTGGGGCAGCCATTTGTGATTCCGTGTGCACGTTAAGAATGCTGGATGTGTGGCTGTGGTTGGACAGTCTAGCGTCAAAACCCTCTTATGGGCTGTTCATTAGGAAAAAAATATTCCTACGAAGCATACTTTTTAATGTCTGGATCCTGGGAACCATAACGCAGGTGAAATCATCATTAGCGACCTCATCGAAGTTCAGAGCCAAACACGATCATAACAGAGAAATCGGTTAGTGTTGTGGCCAGTACGATGTCAGTGTCTTTACACATTTAGCTACAGATCTGTCAATTTTTTTTTGTTCTTGAGGTTGTCTAACTCATCTTTTGTCAAGTAAAAAATCGGTCCTTTTTTATTTTTGTGGCCAAATCTATTGTCATTTGTTGAACTTTTGAAATTAATGGCCAACAGGTCAGGTTCAAGCGCAAATTTACCAGCGGAATCTTGGAGTATTCTAGCCACTGGAGACTGGTTGTCCGAGTTGATTTTTGGTCATTACTAAATATTTTTAGCACCTTGAATTAACCTGCTTGCTGGTTAACTTATTTTGTTCGGTAGTGCCTTTTCTGTAATTATTTCCTGCTTTGCACGCTGAATTTGTTCCGATGGTTCGGGAAACGAGGTTTGAAACTTTAAAATTCTTTCGCATTTAGTTGCCTAAATCCCTTTTTTTCTTTTTTTTTCATGAGTCATCACAGTTCAAACAAATGATGTAGAACATTATGTAGCAATTCCCATGACCGATTTTATGTTATCCTGGGTTCTGTAAGTCAGTGTTTCATTCTTGGGCAGACAGGAGGTTATAAATAACAAGATCTATTTAACACTTACTGATGTTTCGCCATCGTCAGAGTCAATCTGACACGCGTGCTGCTCAGTCATGCATTTTCGTAACCCCGGTAGAAAGAACTCCAAAGAACGATTTTTGTTCGCATAGGAAACAGCTTCTAAACATTCGCAGTTTAAATCACAGTGTAATCACTTGCCATGAGTGGTTTACGCGTTTCGCCAACGTATTTCTTACCACATGCTTTACGAGAGACAAGGTACACCGTACTTGACCTCGTGCGATCACCATCTCTTTCTTTGGGGAAAATTGTGCAATTTTATGCTCTACACAGACGTTTACACAAGTGGTTGCGAAGCAGCTGGTTACTGCTACCGATTTCTCTAGTTTAGCACGCTTTAGCATTGCTTAACAGCTGTTCTTATTTCGTTGGAAGTAAAGGGCAGGTTGACCGAGATCGTGTTTTCGATAGATTTGTCGTTTTGAGTGGTGGTTTTCCCTCTAAACCTATTCCGAGTAGCTACAGTTTCATAGTTATTTAAAATGGCTATTTGTTGCAACATTTCCAGAGGTTCTCCCGTCTGCTCTCTTAATGTGTACACACAGGTGGCTCATCGAAATTTGTTCCTCACAAGGGCGCGTTTTCTATGTGAAAGATGAAAGAAGAGGTAAAAGACCAGTATGTTCCTTTCACTTAGCTTAAGGTAACAATTTGTGTTATAGGCGCATTAGGATAGGTTAAATTTAACGTTCAAGAAAGGATACCAGTCTTTCTTCGGTTGGTTGCGGGTGAAATCATTGTGTTAACATTTGTCTCTCTTATTTGTGTAGGGCAAATGACGAAACAGTCGTTGATATACCTACACTAGAGTACTAGCGAAAGACCGAGTACCAGTTCATGCCACTTTAAGTCATTCGTTGTCTAATTTTTGATGTTGACTGTTGGTTTTTTTTAAATGATCGGCTTAATGGGAAGTATCTCAAAGGTTTTTTCACCACTTCAACACCTAACTGATTAAAAGTTATCAAAGCTTTCCACGCTCGCTCCTAGATGACAGTCTAGTAGTTCTTAAGTTTGTTGTTCCTCGAACCTATTGAATACTACATTTCTGCACTGCTGTGTGGTTGGAACCAAACCTTTCCTGACATCAGTGGTTAAGGATTTTCAATTTTTTGTCTGAAAATCTGAGAAAGTTGATGTCTACTTCGCCCTTAGAGTCTTGATGTCTGATGAACGCTAGAGTAGACGGTGGTAGTGGTAATGCCCTTAATTCATGTTGTTCATTTCCATTTTATGTTCCCAGTCCAGCTTTGTTATAGAGTTAATCTTGAAGCTCTTGCAGACTGCGTGCGATCCTATGCAAAGTTTGCTTAGGAATGGGCTGCGTTGATGAGAAACTTTGACCCAATTTTAACAGCCAGCGCGTGCTGTCATGGAGAGTCATTCCTTTCCACACAGTGATCGTTGTCTTCGGCACATTATCGACTCTAGTATCGAAACTATTAGGCTATCAGTTAATGGTAAGTATGGAAAGTTTGTAGTAATTGCTTGCCAGTTATACGTAACGGTGATGGACCGAAAAAGCATCTTGAAGATGCTTCTTCTACTGCTGAAGCCTATCATCTGAGAAAAAATTTAAAAGTCATAGGCAAAAACTGAACGCCAAGTGGGTCAAAGTGGCAAGCGCAGTACGTAAATCGTTCAATCATCAGATGGCTCGCGAAACATTACGTATGAGAGGGTTGGCAATGGGACAGCGATTGGTACCAAACCTTGCTGTTGCCTTATGTCTAAGGTAGGAACACCAGTAATCGATTTTCAGCAACCGACTACTTGTATCGGATTAATTCCAAGTATCCGAAAATAAGACGCAAAGAGGAGTGCCTTGTGATTATGCGTGACCCCTCGCCATACCGCGTGCTGATTTTTTCGACCTGAGCCAGGCATATTCTTCGTCCGTAAGGGCTTTGTGCGTCTAATCTCCAACAATAACTATAATAATTATAAAGGAGAAATCGGTGACTGCTTGGAAGAAGCTATTTACTACGTGGATGAAATTTATGTCACCAGTTTTTCCCGCATGGGTGGCGGAAGTGTTTGGCTGAGTAGATTGCGTGCCAATCTGACTTTTCCTTTCTCCGAAGAAGTTATAAAAAAGCGAAAGCAAAACGGCCAAGACGTCAACGAGTATTCAATAAACTTTATTATTGACAACCTCGTGTTGGCACAAGAACAAAACGCTGTCTTAATTTTGGACAGGACTGTTCTGAACTAAATGGCCAAAGTTCTTCCCATGGTTGTCACAACCAGTTTTCGTCACACTTAAAAAAGATTCAATGAACTTTCCAAAACTGCGCAACTGGGACGCACCATTAAAGTGACAGAATCTAGGAGACGGCTGTTCGCTGTCAGAGAATCATCCGATTACTTAAAGCAGTCGGTTTCTGCTAGGTATTATGGGCACTACTGGAGGACTCTTATGGTACTAACTCTTGTGCCACAACTATATGAATTGGGCGTTTTAACTTTCGCAACACGTTTTTAAGAGTTTGCGAAATCTTCATCAAAAATAAGGCAGTCTTTTAAAGACTAATTTTAAGGTTATATACGATCTATCCGTCTTCCTTATTGTCATATGAAGAAAACAGTTTTTGAAAGAAGTATGTGTAAATTGTTAATAAAGCACTTTTCATACTATCTAGATGTTTCATAGTTGTGGTAGAGCATTGCTGATAAGAAACAAACTTTTCCCTTAGTTATGCTTATGTGACCGGTTTTCATATGTTGTATGGGTCTATGAAATTTCTCCATTCGTTTTCTTGTCTTGCAACCGTCATCCATAAAGGTGATCGCGTTAGTGGGTGCAGTCTGAGGATACGTGACTTCTAATTGACATGAGGAGTACTGGCCGAGTGTGATTTTCTCTTGACCCCTGAGATACCAATGATAAGATGTTGTTAGGTAGTTCCCACAGGTATTTTCCGGCTTTCGTGCACTGAAAAAGTGCATGTTGCCTTGCCACAAGGTTTCCTTTCAGACGATTTCAATTCCTGTAACGTCAGGGAGTCCTGGAATTAATCGACTGACCACTTGAGGACGAGCAGAAGCTTTGAAATTGATGTGATGCCTATCAATACTAGCTCCTACATTTTTAAGAATGTTTTCCATGAAGTTAAAGCGGAACACTGAATGTTTATTCCACTACTGTTTCATTCCATGTACACTACTTGACATATGAAGCAGAGCCATAACCAGAGATTTGTGAGCATTTTCGAATAAACTGTCAATTGAGAAAAAGATTTGTAGCAATATCAAGTACTGTACCAGGACTTCAAGCAATCATCGCAAGCACCTTATTCCAAAAAAAAAGCGAGTTCGTTGTGTTCCAGTGTCTCTTCACAGATTATCTATTCACGACGTTTTCACCAAATCGACAAGATTTCCAACTCTTTCTTCCGCTGCAGTCGACTTTAACTCCATACTTTGTGAAGAATGTCATCTGACACTTCATCTTATTTCCAGTTCTCTTTAATAAGAAATGTTAAGAATTCTCAGAGGTTCAATGGTATTCTACTGCTTTAGCTTACAATTTGATTGATAGAATAATGATTTCAACAGCGAACCGACCTCATCAAACGCATTGCATGCATCAAACGGTGGAATATAGAGATGCAGCGAAACAGCTCCATCGGAGTGGCTTGGGTTTTCCATGCGATGAAGGCCGAGTTTATCTGGAAACAATAGCTCAGTGCATGCTCGGTACTATTTGAATGTGAACATAACAGAGTGGACGGTGGGAATGAATCTCACTTAACGTCCCTTCTTTGCAGTACTTCGCGCCGCAGTCAGCATTTTAGTGCAACTCTTAACATTTCTCGTGGAAATGAACAAATAAACACTATGTGTAGAATATCACATTTAATGGTTCTTTCTCATTTGAGCTCGAATAATGTTGTGTGGACTAACGGTGTGGTTAAATAAAGATAGAGGATAAAGCTCTTGGCGTTGACCAATCTCTGAGAGATGCGAAATGCATTCGACCTCATTAAGCATCGTTTCGAGGTGATTGGATGCATATGTGGTCTTTACAATGACTCACGGTGGCCTACCGATGTATCGAGTCAGTGCTACTATCCTTCTAGATAAGTCTGATACTAATTTGCCGACCATGAAGAGATGGAAGACTTGGTGGGCCATGGGCGCGTGGATCAATTCCGCGTGTGCTGCGGGGCGCCTCCGACCACTGCGCCATACACGCACTGCGGTGTCATTACACAGACTAACTACAGAACAGAATATAATCCGCGTATACGTGCTGCCCTTTGCTTACCAATCAAGATTCAGGGCAAGTGTCAAAGGAGTTATCATATTATAAAGTGCATTACAGGTCCTAAGGCCGTGCCATTAGTTGGGTTTGTTTAGATGCTTTTGTTACGTGAAACCATTATTGCTATAAGTGAAATCGCATTCAAGAACCTACCACTCATGTAGCAAGCACTGTTCTCCTCATAACGGCCTTGGTTCAGCTTTTTCAAGGGAGTCTGTTTATTCTCGTTATCAGGCCAAGCATGTCTCGTTTCTAATAGGACGCCATCGAGAATCTTCACAAAACAGTGAGCGTTTGAGTGATCGTGAATACTGAATCGCCAAAATATCGATACAAAAGCTATAATTACATTTTCGAAGGAAGTGGCCTTTCTAACCTGCTTCTCATACCTGGTCCCCAACAGAGTACCATGAGATTATATTTGCCATTACCTATATCTACGAGGTTTCGTGTGTGCCTAGAATGAGGATCATTGGTTGCAAAAAAACTTTTGATAAGTGCTTACTTGTGTTCATCAAAAACAGCATATTGTCTCCACTCAGCAGGGTTACTATTATACGACTTCATCAGCATAATCACTTCGTCCACATTAACCTGATCTTCGGCGAAGACGTGATGGAACGATTCAATCAGCTCTGTGAGAGCTACCATTTCTAGAGAACTGCCTTGTCGATAACGTTAAACTACCTTATCGATAGTGTTGAACTGCCTTGTCGATAGTGTTATTTTATTGACAACTCGTTAAGGGCAATTTGCTAGAAATATTAGAGACAGGAGGAGATGAATGTGGAATACAGTGGTCCTGAGGAACATCACAGCCAATGAATGTGGTGCTGCTGCTGTCGATTGGCTCTGATGATGATTCCCAGCATTTGGTGAGTAAATGACGTGATTCACAAATATACTTTGCAAAAAGGTTGTAATATGAAAGCTGTCGTAGAGTTCTATAAGTGTGGTGAAGACGCATGCTTGTGGCGAGCCTCAACCCTAGCTATTTAAACCTTTATGTATGCAGTATACTTTGAAACAATAACTCCATAGAGAGATTAATAAATGTTGTAAGAATGGATAAGAATAAGAAATAGCTTTAATACGTCTTTACACCACATGAAGCGATGAAGAAAGAAAAAGATCAAGAGTGTAGTAACCATTTCTAGGACAATAAAAAAAAAATGAGTAATGATGCTTTTGTAGTGGGTGGAGTTTTGCTAAGGCGAGCTAGAGATGTTGCTCGAAAAAAGGTGCTAAAATTTACTTCAGTTAGTGCAATACGACAAAGCTGATTCAAAGTGCATTACTGTAGCCGTGAGGAAAAAACAGCGGATAAGAAGCACACAAGAAGCTTCGCTTGTGCAAGGTTTTATCAGAGAGAGATGATATAGCTCAAACTTAGAAGGATAGTTAAGCATTACATCCAAAGACTGTGTAAGGCTGAATTGTGGATGTGAATGCAAAGTGATGAAGAATTTTTGTTATTTTGTGGAAGGAGCTGGTTATTTTGAGAACATGTGAGAGCACAGTCGATCAACAGCACCGGAGATCATTCGCCGGAGACCGCTTCTGCACACCATTTTGAACTTAACAGCTTAGCACTAATCGTCACATCATCCGTTTCCAACTGGCATCGCAGTTCTTTGTTATAAACGATCAGGTGTGGGCCACAACCTACACGTTTTTCGATGGGCGTGCTCCTGACGGCGATTTGACTCATACGTTCGTTTTCTGGTCGAAGTTGGCATTGCGGATGCGATGCTAGGGCTAGAGAGGGCTCTCAGGAAGGGAATGTTTTTTAAAACTGCGAATTCATTTGAGTTGAATCAATTGGAAAACTGACTTTTAGCTAATTTCGGCATTACTAATAAAGTTATTTGTTCTTAACAACTGCGCTCTTTCCATGGTTAAGGTTTCGGTTCCTTCGCTTTCTGCGGAGTGCTGTTGTAGATTCTTATCTTTATTTAGGTGAAATAATCTTTGGACTTAATTTAAGGCCGATATACAAACCGAACACTAATCATTTAAAAAACACCTGCCGTTTTCGTTTTCTAAGCAGCAAGACTACCCGTACGCTATTCACATGGGACTATAAATAAACATCACTTGTCCTAAAAACCCGCTTCCACTAAACCTCCACAAGAATAGCCGATATTGTCTCAAGTTATCTAGCTATTTATTGTTATAAAAAGGCTTGATCTGATGTTTCGGCAGCCTTGCCTTCTTCAGAGCCGCGATTATCCGAGCCGGTGATGCTCATTTAGAGAGAAGTATTAATCTAGGTTGCTATCTGAAGTCAGGTGCGATAATACGGTATTGCTCATTTCACTTCACTTTTGGGTATCTGATGTGTATGCGAAATGCCTCAAGAGTTCTGATCGTTGACGTTTTTGATTTTTTTGCTAGAACTATAGATGCGACCTTAAGACCACTGTGGTTATGGTCTTGTATTTGGTGTGCATATAGTTGAGTGCTTCTCGAATATGATGAACAGATTGAAACAACGAGTGCTTTTGCTTTGCTAACTGGTACAATACCGACCAGTTCAGCATGGATCTGATCTGGTCTTCATGAATAGGAATTGTTGGACAATCAACAACAACAGTCCCGGATAAAACGACACCGCCAAGTGGGGTTTTTCATTGCAGCGGTGTTTGGCACCAGAAGGTTTAACTCCATAGACATCGCGAGGACGAACGGTTGTGGACAGTCGAATCGGAACCATCGGCTCTGAAGAAGACAAAGACGTCGAAATGTTACATGGATAAAAGTTGCATAATAACCTAATAGTAGTAACTTTCGTTTACGTTCTTACATGAACGGCGTTCAGATGGTCCCACATAGTAATAATGATGATTCCAGCAGTAACAACAGTTAAAATTGTAATCGTTTTATAGCACGAAGTACGAGGAAAGGAAGTATGTAGTGGGAGTTTCATTGGTGTTTCATGTATGCACGACAACGATAAAGATGATTTCACTATTATATTTCTGAAAACCGACTTCTACTTATCCTCGGCATAAGTAGCTAACCACTTCTTGAATCATTAGGGTTACACAAAGTTAGTAACAAGTTCTATTCGGCTAACATCTGAATGTCTTAGTCTTCTTCAGATCCGGTTTGATTCAAGTAGACAGCCCACAGGCGGTCGCTGCGGCGTCGAGTCGAATCCAAAGGAGGGAGCATCGCTGGAATAGAGAACTTCACTCAACGATGCCCTTTTATAGAGGACGAGTGTCGACCTATTGTCGTCATCGAATAATTTAGTATTACCATAATAACACGTTCGAATGGTGGTCAAAACGGCGAATGAACGTTTACAGACTAGGATTTTATTTCTACGATCGTTTTTAAGAAAGGTTATAGAATATTTAAAGAATAATAGGAAGATGGATATAAAACAATATTTCAAAGGACGTGAACTTTCCGAAACATCAGCCATAGAAGATTAAAAATACGTCTCATTTCACCAAGGACAATTCTTGAAAACACAAAAATTTTCCTTGTTTATAGTATCCGCAACATGTGCAAAACTCCGGACGGCGGACACCTTAGATGGGGAACGAAAGCGCTATTTCCCTTTCAGGGGTAATGTCTTCACCACCACACCATGCGTGTCCTTCGTTTCGCCTGTTCTCAGCTAGTTCTATCGATTAGTAAGCAATCACCTGTCAACGAGATTGATCTGCAGAGTCCAAATTAGCAATAAACTCAGTTAAGCTGAACCCGTAGTCGAAATCACAGCGCTAACTTTTTATTTATTGCCTATTACAACTTTTCATGACAGGTTATTAGGCGTGGGCCTTTTACCGATTTGGTATAGCGCTCTTGAAGGATAATAGCGGGTTCATTCTTCACCGCAGACACCTGTGGTCCTGAGTTTTGCAAATATCTTAGCATCACTGTGATTGTATTTCGCATAATACCCTGCCTTAGCAAACTACAACGATATCCACAGCAAAATTTGCGATTGAAGAGATATGGATCAGTACCAGCTTCAAAGATCTTTGTCGTTTACGCACTAACATCAAACTATGACTAAGAAGAAGTCGAACCGTTCTATACGGACTTAGAAAACTTTAGACCATACATTCTTCAAGGTCATAGCTGGAGAATTTACGCCAAGACTTATCCCGGAAGAGCGGTAGAAAGTTTTGCCTAGCCGATGTCGCTGTTGCTCCAAAATTCTAGGCGGGATCATACCATCGACTCCTTCGTGCAAGATTCCATTTCTCGCGGAAAGGAGAAAAGGCTGATAAATTCAAGAAACCAACCCGACGAGTTACGCGATCGGCTCATTCAACATCTTCGAGCTAGCGCTATAAGAGCTGAGAGTTCGAAAGTCACCAAGAAAAATCTGTCTCCGGAGACACTTGTGTTGATAAGTCAACCGAAAATGGCATAAGCCATAGGCAACCGTCAACTCACACAGCCTGAGCTTGCAAAATACTGCGGAGACATGGTAAAAGGAGATTTTAAGGAGAGAATAGCAGCGGTAATGACCGAAACTGCAAAAATTTGGAGAGCATTGGCAACACCCGTATTCTTTGTCAATTACAAAACTAAGACCATCGAAGTCCGATTATAACACAAGCAGTTACAGCTTCCATGAAAGACAATGGACAAAATCATCTGCAAGTGATACATTGTGTCATTCAAAGCCACGTCCTCTTTTTCCTCCACATGAAATTAAGTAGGCTAAATATGTCTCCTACCGGATCTCTCTCTTCCCAAATCCAACATGTTATGTCGTCGGTGAACAACCAAACAACACAGGATAAAATGCGATCACTTGAAGAACCTTTCGCCATTCCTCATCAACACTGACTAGGATTTTCACATATTACCTAGCCGCATACAAGGTTCCTACTTAGTGGAAGACCAGCAACGCTGTGTTATTGTTCAAGAAGAGCAACTTCCACGATGTCGGCAACTACCACCTAGTCTGCTTGCTGTTCGTCGTCTACAAACTCTTCACTCGAGTCACCCTGAGCGGAATTGATAGAACAGTGAACGGAGGAAAGCCATGTGAGCAAGCAAGGTGTCGAAAATGATTCAGTATTATGTGCCACGTCCATACCATAATAGGATTCATTGATGTGTCGCGAGAATGAAAGAAACCGCTCTGCTTCATCTACACAGATTTAAAGAAAGCTTTTGACTCAGTTGAGATAGAAGCATCCATGGAAATCCTGGACAAAAAAAGTTTAGGCAATTCGATAACATCTCGCCTTAATCATTTACCGCCACCCTTGAGAACGTCATGCGACCATTGGAGTGGGAAAACAAGAGAGTGAAAATCAATGGTCGGCAGTTCCACCATCTTTGCGTTGCTGATGACATTGTTCTTATAACACGAAGCATTAGCCAGGCGGAAAAAATGCTTGCCGACTTTGACAATGCCTGTGCAAAGATTGATCGTCGACTAAATTCCACGAAAGCGATGTTCATGAGAAACAGATTGGTTTCGTATGCCTTATGCGAGCTCAATGGCACGAATATCTCCGAGTGCTTGAACTACGTCTATCCGAGTCGGGAAACCAGCGTAGTGAGCGACTTAGCTTCAGAGCTAAGCAGGAGGAAGTGAGCGGTTTGAGAAGCTTTCCAAGTTATTGAGGGTGTAATGAGGGAAACAGAGATCATCTTTACGGCTCGACGAT